ACTGAGGTCTCATTTCTTCGTCCCTCTTCAGTAGCTGTTGTCGTACACCTGTTTAAAATTGTTGGTTGTCATCTCTGTTACTTCACAGATGGTGAAGAGAGAACCTATGGTGGCTGCGAAGGGCCAGATGCCATGTATGTGAAGCTGATCTCGTCAGATGGCCACGAGTTCATTGTGAAACGAGAACATGCCTTGACATCTGGGACTATCAAAGCCATGTTAAGCGGGCCAGGTGAGAATTCAGACACTGACATTGTTAAAAAGGAGCAAATTTAGCTTTTTAACTTGAATGATTTGTAATCTAATGTTATACATACATTCATTGGTCATGCTCTCCAGTAATTTTGTTGCACTTTGAAGGTCATGCCAGTTTTTTTTCCAGTGGTAGCTTGTTTCTGCCAATCTGCTTAAAAAAAAAACTAAACTAAAAAAAAAAATTGTGTGAATTTTGAGGTGTTTTCTTAGTGTTTTGAGTTAGTCTCTGACCAATGCTAACCTGTAGCACAGCCCCAATTTTAGCCGTATCAAAATTTTGATTTACGGATCGGGAAAAAAGAATAACAATTTGTGGCAGAAACGGCTTCCACAGTTTTCTCTGCAAGTTATTGGATTGCTGTCCACTTTAATCCAGTGTGAGTAGTTATTTGGAATTTGGAACCAAATGTATTTAAACACTGAAGAACGTAACGTTTGTTTTGCTGCTGTTTTTACTGGATTTTTTTTTTTCGCAATTAAAAAAAAACCCCACATATAGAAATGTGATGATCACGTGGTAGTACCTCAACCACATGATCATCATGTGAACTATTATTTGACTAATTTTGTTAGAGGGTGTATGAGGTTCTGTAAAAGATGTGCATAGTGGTGCTTGTAGAAGATGGTGTTATTGCTTTCAGTCAGGTTAATTCTGTTTCTCCAGTTGATGGCACTGTGCTCCCCCTTTGTTAGCAATACTATTCATAGGATTTCATTGGTGCAAATGCCATTATTCATTGCCTCATTTATCCCTGATCAAAAATATCTTTGTAGGTGCATATAATTACAATTAATTGGACAGTTTAATGCTTTTTTAAATTAATTATTGTTATCAATATCTGTTATATGGTCTGATGTTTTCCAATTAACTTGTAAATATTTTTGCCCGACTTTACTTGATTGCCCATCCTGCTCTGATCATCATGCAGAATTCTGTTTATTGGCTCCATCTAGGGGTGGGCGATATAAACGATATACGATAGAAACAATATAAATTTGGCCAGTGATAGAGATTTTTGACTATACCGCTCTACCGCGATAGAGCATGTTGATGATGTCATCAAGCTGCGCCTCTTTTGGTCAAAAGCATTGCAGCGGCTACAACCATTATCATCTGCAAATTATGCCGGGCGACAGTCATAGCAAAGAGATGAAGCACTTTTGAAATATGGGGAAAGCCAAAAACTTAGCTTCCTCCACTTCCATACCGTTGATTCATTAATGTTGAATTCTCTGGCAGCTGTTTTATTCCCAAGTTGTTGCATGTTCTCCTGACTGAAGTTTGGCCCGTGTATAGCATCCTGCCTTGCGATTGCATGTGTCCCTAACCACCAGAATCCCTCACGTTAACTTTCATCGAGTGGAAAAAAGTTGGTGTTCTTCCTCCAGTTTCACTGTGCTAATGTTATGCTAACATAGCTGTGTCGCTAGTGATCACGTAGCACAACATTATAAACCATTATATTATAACATTTTATTCACAAATCTCTCAGTCAGAACATGCTTAGGTGGAAACTAGTGAGCTAACTTCCTGCTAACTTCTAGCTCCGTTAAATTTAAATAAATTCTGTTTTCATGGATGCCTGGATGTTAAACTTAACTGTTACACCTGGTAAAGCAGCAACGCTGATCATTTTATTGAAGATGAATGAATTTTGACAGTTTTTAACTCTCAGTATTCGTTTGACTTTGGGACCTGAAGCGGACGGAGATTTGGACCCAGATAATCCGTGAGGCTCCTTACTACAGTAGATCAAGCAGTGTGGCTTCGTAGCTTACCAAAGTTGTACTAAAGCATTTTTTGACAGATTTCTGCACGCTGTGTATTACATAAAATCGGTTTGAGGTCAGTAAACACAACCAGAATTCATACATAAGGCGCACTCTCGATTTTTGAGAAAATTAAAGGATTTTTAGGGTGGAAAATACGTTATACAGAAAAAAAGAATATATCGCAATATATATCGTTACCGCACATGCTTCAAATAATACCGCGATATGGATTTTAGGTCATATCGCCCAGCCCTATTCCCTACCTCCTGATTTAAGAAATATCTCTTCCCTCTCTCTCTTTAAGTCCCAACTCAAAACCCACTTGTTCAAAATAGCTTATCCCACATAACCTCTCCACTCTGCTATTTTAAATTTGTTTATGTCTTGTGCTTTTATGATTGTGTAAACTGCTTGCTTTTATGTTGCTTTTTATTCTACTGTGTACAGTGACCTTAAGTGTTTTGAAAGGCGCTTTCAAATAAAATGTAGTAATATGATGATGATGATGATGATGATGATGATGATGATTATTATTATTATTATTATTATTATTACTTGGGCCAGTACACTGGAAAGCTTTCAGAATACTTTTTTGGTTAATAAGGTGTTTTTAGGTGTTATGCTCAGTGCAAGACTTAAATCTATGTTGAAGCTCTTTACTTGACACTGTAGGCTGATGTGCACCTTAACAGAAAAGTAACTATAGTGGCATAGACATGAACCACTGTGATAGGGCTGTTTGGTAGCAGTATCCGGTGTAAACACATTAGCAGGATAATACCTCATGCTGTTTTTCTTTATTTCATAAGTCTAGCAACATGTTTATAGATTCAGTTGGCTCCGATATCTTTTCTCCTTCCACAGTTTCTGTAAAAGTAACTGTTTAGTTCCAGATTCATCAAATTCATGACCAACATTAAGAGCCCAGTTTTGCTCACGATGGCAGAGCAATGGCAGAAATTCAACAACGCCCTATAAATTAAGCTTACATCATTGAGGAAATCCCTGTATATGTTCTTTTAATGTATGAACATGATATTGTCTATCTGCAGGACAATTTGCTGAGAATGAAACCAACGAAGTGAATTTCAGAGAGATTCCATCTCATGTCCTCTCCAAGGTCTGCATGTATTTCACCTACAAGGTCCGTTACACCAACAGCTCCACAGAAATACCCGAATTCCCCATCGCACCGGAGATCGCACTGGAACTACTCATGGCTGCAAACTTTTTGGATTGCTAAAGTTGCAAAGATAATGGAAAAAAAGCTTAAAACATTTTTAGTTGTTTTTTTTTTTCTTCTTGTTTTGAGTATTTAACTTGTTTTGCTATTCACTTCATATGAAAAGAAAATAACCCTTTTTCTTTGGTTTGCTGTTGTTTCATTAGTATTAAAAGATGACATTTTAACATGTTAAATGGATATAGCAGAATGTGACATATGTGCCCCCCCAGAAATCTCTCCTCACCACACCATCTTAATAAAGACATATTTGGTGAGCACTTTGTTTCCAGTCTTTGGTACCTTGTGCCTCATGAAATGAAGTACCATCTCCACAATGAACATGCTTCCTATTTTTATTCTCTTTTGAAGTTTAAAAAAAAAAAAAGATATTTGAGATAAAGGCAACAGTGGGGATGTTGTATACACTAAAATGGATAATTCAGTGTTTTGTTTTTTTTCACATCAGTAGTTGGAGATCTACTAAAAGGGTTTACTCTTTATATGGATCAGATAAGGATGTTTGGAAAATGAATGAACCTCAGATGTCTGTAATTTAATTAGCATGGCAATGCTGAAATAAAAATGTGTATTGAATCTGAAAATACTGCTTTTTTTTTTTTGCTTTTTTTTACACTATCGTAGGAGAACTGCAGTAACTGCTGTGGTTTAAACACTCTTAACATACTTAAATGTGGATTTAAAGTAAAAACTTATAGGAGATACTGAACAAATAACTGAAAGGACTCACTGTGTGCTCGTATTGCTCCAGCGTGGCACTGATTCATCAAGAAGTGAATTTATGACTCCAGGATAAAACAATTGGTACAGACTCCTTAAAGTCCCACAAAGTGGTATGACATAAGGGCTTTGTGTTGCATGTTATAGAAGAAATTTCTGTGCTCATAAAAAAGTCAGTGATCACTTAAACTGCATAAAAATGGAAAGCTGATAGATGTGATCTTATTATTCTGAATAAACATTGCCTTGCACATTCAAGTTTCAGAAATTTACGTTGCCTGTGTCCATCCATTTGACTGGTGCCTATATGGAGTGCTTACCAGCCATGCCATGTGATACACCCAAGTGTTAATTCCCATGGTGAGCCGAGAGCTTATATCACATCTGATGCAACTCTGGCTACCAAGAGACATTTTCTCTGTAGGAAACATTAGGAGGTTAGATCAAATTGCAGTGCAAGTGGATGAAATGTTCACAATTTTTGCTTACACAGATAAATGAATATGCTTCCTGTGCTTAAGCCACTGACACCTAAAAAAAAATGACAGTAAGATAACATAACGAGCTAAAGCAGCTCAAATAATAATCATCATCATCAGGAAAACAAATAATGTAATTAAATACTCTGATGATCACAGGAAGTCTGTTCCTTGAAGCATTTTGTCATGATGAGTCATTACTCTCACACTTAGAGGTTGTAGAAACCAATGTTATTCTCATTTTTAGGTACGGTTACTCCACCCAAGCGTCTGATCATGTTATACCTCAAAGGTAGGAAGTTTCTGTCTTTTAATAACTAAAATACATTCTTTAGCAAAGGTCACAGGAGGTGCCCGAAGTCCCATTTCACCTCGGTGGATTTAAAAATATTATGTTGTCTTTATCGCTGGTGAAATGCTGTGATAAATCTGCTAAATGTTACGGACATCTTGGCGGTGACGGTGGCGCGCGCACACACACGTTCGTGTGGATTTGTTATCTGCTGTCAAAACAACTTAAATCACGTGACCGCCTGACGTACGTTTCTACACTCTGCGCTGAGGCAGGAGGAGGGGGGGTTTCCATCATGGCGTCGATGCAGGTAAGAACACAATTGACAGCGATCGCTTATTTTGTGATTTTTACCGGACCTCCCGACTGTTTTTTTCCTGGCACTTTATCGACCACTTCATTTACCTACGCGTATTTGCCCAAAGTGGTGGTGACGTTACTGTAAAATCGATGACATTTATCCTCAACTGTTCAGGTTTAGCGGCTGCTCTTTGCTAGCAATACAACTAGCCCATCATCGTCCACAGCAAGTCAAGGCTAGTAGAAGCTAGCTTCCTGGAACTGTATGTCGATGACTTGGCCCGTGTGTAGGTTCTTCTCAGAAAGGCGTGATAATTCAAGGATATGAAGTGGGAAAAATTTCCGATGTTTCCCGTAAATGTTGGCGGTTAAGTGGCCGGGCTCTCACCACAGTGAGCTAAGCAGACAGTGCGCAGATCGAACAGTTGCAGTTTCCTCCTGAACAGCTGAACAGGTGCATCACTTTCACAGAAACTGCGTTGTTCAGTTGACTGGCTGTTAACGTCTAAATAAATCAAACCCGTAAAGCAAATTTCATACATTTTTTAAACACTTACCTCTTTGAAATCGTTTTGTTTGGGTCACGTTTAACTACTAATAAACGGTAACCCCTCATTGGACTATCATTGATGTATCAGTGTTTTTGCGGGTATGGGCCGCTTAATAAAATTGATGAACACATGTGCTAAATTTCTCAGCCACTACTCTGTTTGATTTTACTTGACTTGATCCATTATTTCAACTTTTTTTTACATTTATTTTTGGGGGGTATAAACCCAATCATGTTTTGTCCCACAGAAAAGGCTACAAAAGGAATTATTAGCCTTGCAAAACGATCCACCCCCAGGAATGACGCTCAATGAAAAAAGTGTACAGAACACCATTACACAGTAAGTCTTTCTCTCTCTCTCTTTGTTTTTTAAAATTTCCTGTGACTCATTTGTTTCAGAGTGGCAGCACTTCTGGGTTTTTATCACCGATATGCCTATCGTGTTTGCTCAAATACCATGTGGCTTTGTGAAATGCCAGGTTTCATCCCTTTAAAAGGGTAGCGTGGCAAGCATGCCGCATGTCATAAAGGTAGCTGCGGCTGGAGGTAAGACACCACGGCCTCAGCAGTGTGTAGTGGTGAGGAATTGGGGTCATTCCAGCAACTGGCAGCCACAGGCCCTTCGTAGAGTGTCTCTAATGCACAGTGTCACTATTCATCCTTATAAAATATTTAATGGCTGGCATGCAGGAGTTGGGCTAGAAACAGAGGTTGCTTGGCTGACCTTTCTGTCTGGTTGTCATGATGTATCCCCTTAAACCCCATGACTACTGTTGCCATTTCATATGGTTTCTGATAAGCAGGAAATATGACTTGAATTGTAGTCTTTAAATGGATTTGAGACAAGTTTCTAAGCTGAAGCATGGACTTGTTAAGTTACTAACTTTTCGAGTTGTACGGCATGGTTTCTGGCCTCCAATGCCGTCTGAAAGAGAGGGTGCACATTGGAGTGTTTGTCTGAAAGAGAGGGTGCACATTGGAGTGTTTGTCACTGGTCAGTTATGGTGGCATCTTCCTCATTAGATAACAATCACCTGGTCTGACAAATGCCTTGCATGACTGCCAAGTCTCCTAACCAGTCCTGCTGGCTTGTGATCCTTGTATATAATTTCTCTGACAAGGCATGTGTAGGTGTGTCTCTTTTTTTTAAACGCTCTGCTCTGATGTCACAAGGTGTCTTTATGCTACTTTCTGTTGTCACGATTGACTGTGGTCAATGAAATGTCTTTATTATCCTGACTGGAGTATGACATACTCTTGTTCTGCTCGGCATAGAAGCACACAAGCTGGTATGTTACCGCAATAAAGGGTCAGTGTGTTTTCAGCTTTGCACCTTTTGTTTATATAGTACACTTTGTACTGTAACGAGCAACACTGAGAGTCAATGGTTTTGTTTTGTTTTTTAAGGGTATTGTGTGCTAGTGCTATATTGGTTAGCTTCATGGTGTAATGAGTCACTTGTAAACAGGGAAACTGCTGCTTAAAGGCACTGTTGGGCCTCTCAGGTGTACTCCATTTGTCCTTGTCCCTACACTTTCACTAAATGTCTCAGTGTTATTTTTGTTGACTGGATCATATAATCACCAGGCTATAGGGAATTTGAGCACATTGAGCGTGATGTCCTTGAAGTCCCTGACTGTATTCGGCATGAGTTGGGAGCACGATCAGGCCTCGCTCTGAACTTCTCTCTGATGTCCTGTCTGCACTGCTTGCATGGAAAAAATAGGGCAGAGATTGTGATGCTTTTTTCTTCTAAGGATTCTACTATGAGCCCCACAACTGTTCTGCACTCAACTTGTTTTTGCCACCAGTGAAGCTACATTCAGCAGTCTTGAGTTGTGTGTGTGTGTGTGTAAAGAGTGTGCGGTGCAGGTAGGCTGTCTTTCATCCCAGAGGCCCAAGGCTCTGTATTTGCAATCATCTGTGCAGGATTGAATTGCTAGCAGCTCCGTCAGCAGAGTTCTGTAGCCTGGCCACCGAAGCGAAAATAGATTTTGTCCAGTAGATCAATAGAATATCACATTATTACTAAAGCACTGTCATAAGCCAGCTGAATATTGAATGTCACTGAAATGAGTTAGACTGAAAGCTTTTGATTACACACACTTACTGCAGAACCGGCAGCTCACATTGTGTATCATTTATTTATTTATTTTTTTAATGATAATTACATGTGGTTCTGTACTTGTCTCTAGCTAATCTGCTGCCAAATTATAAAACGGCACATTATTAACAGAAATAATGTCGAAGCTGTCATTGTTTCCCACCTACTCCAGAATTGTAAGATTGAACACAGAGCACATTATCACTCATAAACCAAACTTTGCTTTTATAGAAATGCCATTTTCTCCCAAAGCACTGAAGGTTTATGTTCATTGTCAAGTACACTACGTATGAGGAAAAAGGAAAAAGCCTGAGTAGTTTATCCTGTCAAAAATTTGCAAGATCTTTACTCCAACCCCCCAAAACCACAAATTAACTGATTCTTGCAATTTGGTTTTACACACAGCAATGAGGGTCGCAAAAGTAATTGGTGCACCTCATTCAAACTGTGTTGTTTTTATCTGTATAGGCGCCTGTTCTTCTGCTAATATGGTGAATCGAGGGTAAATTTGCTCATTTCCTCCATGCAAATTGTGGGCAACCTCGCAGGGTTTTGTGGTTCCTTGTGGTTTCCTCTTTCCCCTGATTTGTGTAAATCTCTAAAAATGTGTTTTGTTTTTTTGTGCAAGTTAATGAAATTTTAAGTTTTACGTTATTGTAAGTTGTAATTTAAGAGAGTTAATGTTGAAATTTAATGACATGGGATCTTCCTCCACCAACTCCATAAATTTAAAAGAAAATGGCCTTTTTTCATATTTACATCACTCTGATTTGTAGTCAGAGACTACTAGACCCTGATTATCTCAAGGTGATCTGTGTTATTTTATGTAATTTTTTTTTTTTGTTTGACATATTTTAATATTGTGCTTTTATTTTTTTTAGGTGGATTGTAGATATGGAGGGAGCACCTGGCACACTGTATGAAGGAGAGAAATTTCAGCTGCTTTTCAAATTTAGTAGTCGATATCCTTTTGATTCACCTCAGGTAAGCTCAGCAGTCATTATTGTTTGTGCGTAGGTGTGTGGGTAAATGTTAGACATTTTAAAGCACTTTGTCTGAAGCTATCTATAAGTTCACTTTATTAACCATCTTGTCTTATGGATCTGTTTTGTCTGCACTGTGGGTGCAGGAGATGCAGATGAACAAAGGACTTGGAACCTGGTCTGATGATGTTTCCTTTATACCGTTTGCTACTCTGATCTAATGTCCCACATCCATTCCTAGCTTGATATCAAAGATTGATATTCCTGAGTTCATGGTCCACAGTGGTGTTCCGATTGAAATAAACTGAAGAGCTGTAGAAACAGTCTTTTATATTCATCGGCTAGATACATGCTGTAATCTCATGAAACATCTTGGCTCTATGGTCATTAGTGCAATGAATCTTGGCTTGGAATCACTGAGAGTCAGCAGTGCAGAAGTCTCACTGAAGCCATGTTTGATGGGATTAGTTTGACTCAACAGTCTTGTTTCACTGATTAGGAGCCTGCCTGTCTAAAAATAGGTAGAGAAAATTAGATAAATTGAGCTACTTAGCTGTTACCCTCTCAAATAGGAAGGACACACTATCAGATTTATCCACTGTTGAAGTCCTCTCCTGGGGCCTCTGGAGGAACTTCTCTTTCACCTTCATCCTATTATTGTCGTGGAAAAGAAAACAAAGTCTGATCAAAATCACTTGACAATTTTTGCATAACAGCTTCAGTTTCTGTTGAGCCTTTTCACAGCTACATGCGCACAGGAGAAACTACAGATTTCCTACCAGAACTTTAACCCTGTGCAGCATCTTCTAAAACAAAGATGTCAAATTTTAAACAGTGTTGTGTAATCTTACAGTTTAGATTGTTACAATTGTATAAAGGCTTTTTATTTTTTCATTTACTCGTTTTTTGACATGTTTTAGCCATCCAAGCTCTGCACATCACTCCACCAGTCATTTGCACATTCTGTGTCATTCACATGGGGGAAATATAAGCTTTGCAATTAAAACTAATCATCATTAGATTGAAATGTGGAATCAAAGAGTATTCTCTAGAATTTTTTATTTTATTTTTAATGCTTACAAAATTTTTAAGTTTAAAATCAGTCTCCAATAATAACTTCAGCTTTAAATAAGACAGAATTGGAAAACTTTGGGCTCAACCTAAAATTTTCACATCTGTTTTTTGGCCTTCAGACTTTGCTTTCATCAAAGAACCGTTGCAGACATCGTTGTTTCAAATTTGTTGAGGTAATCTAATGGGTATGGTTGAGAGCTGGTGACTGCAGTAACGTCTCCATTAAAGACAGACCCCGAGCTGACCAGTTCTATAAAGAGTTCTTGTGTACTTCGGAGCTGTTCTTTAGATCACTGTCCTGCGTGCGGTCCAGTCATGCCTAGGGATGGGTATTGTTTAGGTTTTATCCGATACCAGTACCAAACCGGTACTTTTGAAACAGTGCCGGTGCTTGAACGGTGCTCGAACCGGTGCTTAAAGAATGGAGAACACAAAATTGGTCCAAAAACCTCTCATGTTCAGCTGTTTTTTTTTGTAAAAAGATAACAATGTTAGCCTTTTCTGCAGCTGTAGGGGATTTATGGCATCACTCTTGGCTGGAAGCAGTGCTTAATCAATGGAAAAAACACAAACGTTGTCCAAAACCCTCTCATGTTTAGCTGTTTTCCACTTTTTCTTTGGTCATTTTAACCTTTTTGGCCAGGGTGAAGGGAGTATCTGCCATCAAACAAGAAGACAGCCGCATGTAACT